GAACTGAAGTAGAAGCGAATGGAAAAGTTTTAAATCGAAAAGGTATTACAATTGAGTCTATTTAAAACATTTGGTATTACAGTTGAGCCAATTTAAGGTATTCTGTCTCAAAACAGATTAAACGCTGAATAAGAGGTTCTTGGTTGTGCGCTCATTTTCCGTTGATATGCAAGCGAAAGTAATAATATTGCATGAAATTTTTAATTGCCAAAATTTTTCAAATTGTTCGTGGTTCGTGGTGCAGCGGGTTTGTCTTCATTAAGTATCTTGATTGCAAAAAGAGTGCATAAAATTTGTTTTTTTTTTTCTGGTCAGAGTACACAATACGCAGACAAAGCATTTTAGGATCAGATTCCCCTATGCTTGTTACTTGAGAATTTTCCCGTAATTCGTAGTATTTTACTCTTTCTCTTAATTTATTTTCTTTACTTTTCTAATGTATATATTATTATTATTACTATTATTATTATTATTATTAAAAATTTAGCCACAGAATCAATTCTAAGACTAAAGTCTTAAAGCACTAGCATCTAAGGCTTTCGGCTTTATTAAAAATTCTACCGCATTTGAGATTTGAACCCACGACCATTGAGTTTGCTAGTCGAGTCTCTTGCCTATTCGTCCACTCAAGCAAATCTACTGTATGTATTGCATGTACTTTGATCATTTTTTCATTTAAAAATCTTTATCGAAAAAAATTATTATAATTATTGAGAGAAAATAGTATATGTTAATCAAAATATTATCCAATATTTTCTACAATTTTGCAATCTTGCTGGCACCATAACCGTACCGTGCCAAGAGAACGAAATCGACTTGACATGTCTTGCAACGTATGGATGGCTGTCTCTGGTGTTTTTTGCAATAGTACGTCGTTCAATTTGTTCAATTGATGTCGGTAGGTATATGTAGTAACAGTTTCATTCGGTTTTAGATACTCGTAATACACTACACCTTGCTGACCATCGCAAGCACAGCAAGAGCTTATAGCCATGAATACTCCGCCTCAGTAGCGGTGTAGACGGTTCTCCTGGACTAACCCATGCCTTTTTGTGCTTGGCATTGTCGTAATAGGTCACTTTTCATAGCGAGCAACAAAACCTTTTTTCTTTTGCCTAGCAAACAATGAAACTTCAATCTTGAAACTTCGAAATGGCATTTTCAAGAAATTCGTGTGATAGACATTTTCTTTCCTTTTGGATCTTTCCCGTCGCATGTACAAGTCTAGATACAGTTGATTTATGTTCGAAAGGTTTTTGAGGGTGTGAGCTGGGATTTTGTTCAATAAGTCTTTCAATTCATTATCTTCACACTGCGGTTGTATCTAATACTGAGAAGGACTTGAGAGGAACTCACCCTTTGCCGATCAATTCAAAACCGCTTTCTGCATCAATCTAAGGTTGTGTGCCCATCCCTATGCTTGTATTCAGTCTCAAACCGTAATTTTTAAGATATTTCGATTAAATTTGGTACACCGACACACTTTGGCCCAAAGGCGAATATTATTGCAAATGGTTTGGGTCTGTTTACTTTTTCGATTATTCCCCGTAGAATGCCCTATTCTGAAAAGTCGTTATATGGAAAAAATTGCAATTTTTTGAACATCCTCTCATGTAATTGTTTCTATGGAAACTGAATCTTTGTATGATAAGAAGGTTGGTTCTCCAATATTCTACAGTGAAAATTGGCTCATAATAGTAAATTAACAAAGAAATATACGTTACCAAATTTGGACGAATAGGTCAATTTTTTGGGTACTACAGTATAGAAGGATTCTTATAAGATGTAAACCGTCAGATGCCAAAAAATCTACTTGTTAATTTTTTTTGTGACGACAATTTGTTCAAGACAGTAATTTCACAGAAAAATGAAGTCTGCCAAGTTTGAGCCACATAAATCTATTTTTTAGACCCGATCATACATAATGATTATCATGAAAAGTAAGCTCTTATACGGAGACAAATTCTAACTTCTAGTTTAGTTTTAGTAGTTCTAGTGTAGGAATTGAAAAATAGTAAAATTTGCAAGAATGAAGCTTGCAAAATATTGATCACCCCTTGTGACGTTTTGGGCATCATCCAATATGCGGACTTTCAGAAAAAATATGCCCTTACATTAAATAATGCATTATTTTTGGTGTCTTAAGCGCACATGCTTGGTTTGATTGAGAAATGGTTTCGAATCGATGGATTCAATAAAAGGCGGACCTGTCTTAAGTCTCCGCATAAATTTTATATATTCTGTAATGCAATTTATAGTAAGAATGTGCTGTACCTAGGTGTGAGCAGCACAGCGATGAAAAGGAAGATGGAAGTGTGTTGTTTTTTTATCAAAATTCATTGACTTGTTCCGAAATAAGTCGTAAGCAGAAATATTTCAAAGTCCCAAATGAGCAAATCCTTCAAAAATTTGATATCAATTCTTATCTCAAAAAGGACAACTACGTTTGAGAGGCAAAACGGAGAATATGAACTATGTAATGTCTCCAGTTTTTACTTCTGCAAGATAACCATAAATAATTAATAATTAAACACAAAATGTATGCTGAGTAACGTTTATGGTGCGATGAATATGAACGTAGATGTTGGACAAAATTTACCGACTTATCTACAGAGTTGATAACTATAAACGCGGAAATAAATGTAGTGATGATATGTAATAAGCAATTAAGAATTAGTGCAATATTGAAGTAAGTTATTAAGAGGAGTGAAAATTAATTGCCAAACTGACAATAAAAAAATTTTGAACCTTCCTCTGCAAACCAGCACAAGATGAATGTGTTCCAACTAATTACCGGACAGATGATGGCAATTTCGGACGAAGTCAAAAAATTTTCCACATTTATGTTAGGAAGATAACGAACAATATTTAATTTACTTTCTCGAGCGAATTCAGACTACAATTAAATTGTCCAGGTTGTATTAAAGTAGCGCATAAACGTGTTTGCGTGTAACAACTTATCATTAAATGTAATTTTTTTCGTTCAGTGTTACGATCTAGAAATACCGTAATCTCAATTTAAATCCACATTATTTGCATTTGTTTTTTTAAATTTGTTTTTTTACTCGTTCCTTTTTGTTCTGTTTGTGCTGAGCTTGACAGGGTAAGGTTGTATTAATATCTTATTATCGTCTCTTATATCCATAAATGTGTATTAAAGTCAGTGCGATCTGGACTCTCCATAAGTATATCATCTTCATATAAATAGCTGAATTCATAAAAAAAAAAGAAGTAAGAAAGTTATATTCGGCTGATGCCTAATCTCGCATGGCGATCACCTTCAATACCTTGGGCGTCAAATTATTTTTATTAATTGTCATAAAAAAGTGAATGAACAAAAATTGATCTGCTGCTTCATTAGAAGGTATTGTTAAAAAAAATTAATGTAATATTCAATTCCCTTCATTTGTCACCCATATGAACGTGGTGTCCATCGTATTTAGTTAGCATTATTATCTTTAAGCGGGTAATATATATTCATATGAGGAATCTACAAAATATTTTAAACGTCTTGTTTAGCGTATGATTAATAAGCATAAAACCCCAAAAAGTGAGGAGAAGGAAACTTAACTACTTGTAACTTTGTGCGAACGTGGCCGATTTTTTCCACATTTTCGCATAAAATTGAAAGTAAATTAGAGTTCTTCATAAAGTAAATTTTTGTTTAGAAAACCGAGATACACGCAAATTGTGCATTTCTGTGCACTTGTGCTTTGACCAATTTGATCTCTTTTGAACATCGATCTGCGTACAAAAACTTCTAATGTTTCTACCAAATTTGAAGTCAATATGTTCACTTTTTCGAGCAAGAAAGTGTCAACAATACACACTACACAGACGGGCAGACATGGCTTAACCAATTTGGAATTTCATGCTGATCAAGAATATGTTTATTTTATGAAGTCTCTGAATGCCGAGCTCCTTTTCAACTGCAAAGCGATTAAATGTGGGTTTATCTCCAATGTGGCCTACAATATAGACGAGGTCGGCGATCTTGTTTGAGACTGAAATCTCTAGGACTTCCTTTCTAGAATTCGTACCAAATGCAGTGTGTTAAGCGTACTTTTTCTGCTGCACTTTATTCACACCGTACTTGGTAACTAGTTTATAAAAGATACTGAAAGTAGTCCTCTTATATCCCATAAGAGGTCCGTTGAATAGTAAGATCCTTTATGATGCTTAGTCTACTTAGGGTACGGTTAACGTAAGCCGATCGCTAGTTACTTTGGCTTGGGAAGTAGAAATACTAAAGGGTAATAAAATACGACGAAGTATTTCCACCAATCAATTATGTTTATCTACTATCAAGCGACTGAAAACGCTCAGGTGTGGTTAGCGTTGTTGTTTCTTAGTGTCTTAAGGTCCCTTTCTCGTACATATGAAAAAAAAGTGAACAACTCAAACAAATTTTAAAATACGTCTCTTTCTCAATTTATGCGGTACCTCTTTACATGTTTTCGCTTTTCGACGACTTCGATACGTTTAGATTTATGTGTTGAACACAGTACCATTTACAACGCTTTTGCACGTTTGATTGCCATGCAGCTTCGTCAGAACATTAGTTGGTTCGGTCATTCAACAAAAGAATGTGTTGTTTGCTTTAAAATCATTCTTGCATGCATGTCAAATACTTGAGAAGGATAAGGATATATTTAAAGGTGCCGAAGATGCGAATTTGGCTGCAAGGCCATAGGACCGTCTGTAAAAAGAAAATGCCACCCATTATTGTCCAAATAGTGAAGACGAAAATTGGCGTATATTCTCCTTTGAATGTTGAGAGTGAAATATCACAAGAGATATCATTTGTAATTTGTTGACATTATATATATAAGAATTAGTGCCATAAGTGATCAAATCATAGGTGTTCTCACTTAAAACAAACATTCTGTTAAGATAAGCGATTCCGTATATATAGACAAAACTTTTCCAAGAATAGAATTCTTTAACTGAAAGCAGTGGGGTTTCCAATAGTACTTATTTGAAAACCTTGACTCCAGAGAATTGACTGTTTGCATATATTGAATTCGTAAATTATTTTTGTGCGTAAGCCGAATCTCCGCATTGCATTGGCGTTTTGTACAACTACACTACTTCTTTTATTTCTGTATTGATACTTTGCCCTTGAGGAATTAGCCCAAATGAAAATATTTTCCAGGATGTTGATGGTTGTCGCATTATTGTTTTGTTTGTTAGAATGTAAACATCACCGTACAGATACTTTTCGATTTTTGGACTGCACCAAAGTAAAGGCAATTTGAAAAAGTACGTTATCTATCGTCGGAGATCCTTGAAACGGACCAGAGGAACGGACTTTGAAATATCACTTTTCATCAAGTCGTCTGTGTGGCATAAAAGATTTTATGTAATTGAAAAATTTATGTCGAATGCCCCAAGATTTTAAAAAATTTAAGACGCCATGTGTACTTGTCAAAGGCGATTGAAAGAATTGTAACATAATTTCCTTCAGAAATAGCTTTTGTGTGAAACAATCAATGTGTGATAGTAAATTACGTCGATATGAAAAAATGTATGATGGGTTGATAAGTATGCCCGCTTTCCATTCTTTGAAACACACACATCTTTGCGTTGAATGAGTGAGTTTTCCAATATGATGCCAGGAAACTAGATTCTTCCACAAGCCAAAGTTGTGTTCCAACTGTTCAAGTCTCCAATAGCAATCAATGAAGTTGAGGACAAGCTACAAAGTTTTTGCTGACAGGAGTATTGCAAAAGCGGAATATAAAGCGAGAGCACAATAGATTTTATGTTCAAGTTTATTTGGACGGATATGGTTTGTACACTTGATTTTCCATTGTTGCGTCTACAAGGGATGTTGTATTCAATGAGTATACCAACTTTAGATATGAAATCTCGTTTCACTGAAATTGTAAGAAAATCCTTGGACGTTTCTTTGAAAAATTTTAAAGACTTATTTTGATTGTATTACCATGTCGAGTCTGGCGATTAAGTCGACATGCAATCGTCGCTATCACAGATGCCGTTGCTATATTTACTCGAAGAGTCATACAGTTCATCAATTCAGAAATCAAGATTCTAGTGATTGTGTTTGTTGTTTTTATTTGTTTGTGTTTATTTTGATGAAGTTGGGCTGAGCGGAGCAGAATTATGTTTTAGAGTTAATGCTTTGATGGTGTTGAAAGCAGCCATTTTTTTGATATTGATTTAGTTTGATTGAATAAAAATTAGGTTTGGCTTGGTTTTCTCAGTAATGTTGTTCGGTGTGTGGTCAATTGCAGTTGACTGCCTTTTTTGTGAGCGTTATGACACAAACGCAATAAGTGTAGCGATTGACATAGAGATTAAAGCGTTTAGTTCTTGATACCTGCGGAGATCTTTACTTACGTTGCAGTGACTTTCAGTTTTAATTTTAGTATATCCTATATTTGTAAATTTCAAAGGCAATTTTTGCCTGAAGTCGAGTGACGAACATTCGCCAGGTTTATGCGGAGGTAGTTTGCAAGTAGCAGAACTTAGATCGCTTTACATTATTATTTAACCAGGCATGTTAGACGACCTTACGTACACTGAATGCTAAAAAGTATAAATAAGTGTTTTCCATAAACTCGAGGTTAAATTTTATTCCCTTCTATACTTTTCTAAAGAATTTTCTCTCCATACTTTGATAGACGTCATTACGATATTTTCAATATTATTACATAAATATAATATTTTCAATATTATTACAAATTATACAAATCACACGATACAAATCAATAATGATATCATTTAAATTTACCTAAAAACTTTATCATCAAAATAAAAGGGTAATATTCCCACACTATGTATTTAAATATAAAGCATAAAATATTAATATCATTAAAAATGTTGGTCTTTCAACAAACTTTACACAACTTTACAACAAACAGTATTAAACAAAGAACGTTGCTGTTATTAGAAGATCGTATGTATTAGCCTCTGCAACACGCAAAAAAGTGTTTCTTTGTCATGTTTTGGTACAAAAGGAAAAGAAATAGGATAACAACGTTCATAGAAAATGTCAGACATATATTGAAACTTTAAGAAAAACTATTCGTTTTTAAGAAATGTTTGAAAATGCCACTACCAAACCCATTCTAGTAATACATCTGTAATTTTTTATATAAAAACAAAAAAAACGCATTTAACTTTTATACTCATATCTAATGAAATACGGCGGCGAAGATTTTACCAAGTAAGAATGTTACATTGTACTACATACCTATAGTAAAGTGAATATAAATATATTGGTTCCAGCGTCATTGGGAAATATTTGAATGAAAATGTTTAACTTTCTACCAAACAAGCAATCGTTTCCTAATATATAAGGTTTAACTTAACTTAACGGAAATCACTCGACTTTGGCTCACTAAGGCGTCTTATTTCAAAGATATTGTATGAATTTAAAACGAAAAGGATGAAAATTATTGGAATTATGCTGCTTGCCATTTTGGCAAATTGTCTTGGGAAAAACCCTTCACTTTCTAAGCATGCTATACGATTATATTCGGAAAATAAAAGTTTCTAGCCATTTCGAATCCATCACCTCTACAACTTTTTTTTGACCATTATTGCCTATTTGGGCGGCCATTTAGAAAAAAAAAATTTTGAAAATTTTGCAGCCCATTTGCCCATTCTAACATAATAAACTTTTATCAGCTCCTCTTCTTTACGTAAATAGTAAAACTCTTAATTAAATGCGTATATATGCACGATTATCTATCGTATACGTTTATCCGATTTGTAGTTCATGCGTTTCGCTTTACTTTGAGCCATTATGTGCCGTAGTTTTAATCTGTATCTCTGTATGTACTTACTGTTTTTCTGTAAAGTCTTCATTACTTCTAATTCCGATATATTTAAGTTATCAATACTGTGCGTTACTCATCATTGTTTTGTTTAATCTTACTATCCGAGCTTAATAATGGTTGGGAAACGAGCTACTAACGACAGTCTTCACGAGTTTCTTCCTATTATCGCAGCAAAAATTAAATCAAGTACGAGTCGCATGTTAATAGTTGTGCACATATAACAGATTCTGCATCTATGTTGATCAGCGACATCTATTGGTGAAGATGATAAAGTAATGTATCAATGTAGGCAACGGTTAGATTTGATCATTTTGATCTTTCTCTACATAAAATAACAGTTTTCTATTTAGCATTATCGAGCTATTCAGTGTTATTCAGACCCTAATCGTAAGATGTACAAAATTGATTTCGACATTCATTACTTTTGTTGTTTGAAAAAATCTGCGGCCGAAGCTCAATCAAACGCATTTAGAAGTTTATGGTGATGGTATTCCATCGTGTTCCAATTGTCAACTTAGGTTTCAATGGAAGAAAGAATAAAAGAAGTGATTTTTTTATGCCAACGACTAAGAACAGCCTGGAGGATTAAAAAAGCGCAAAGATAATGAATTGCCTGACATCTTGAACGAAAACACTCAAAGTACTTTCGAGCAGTTAAACAATCAATGAACCAACTGCTTCTAGACGTTTGCAAGCGATAGAAACGTTCAAAAGGAAGAAAAATGGCTACCACTCGAATTGACGACAGAGATCGAACCATTTCAACATTGCGTTTCATTACTTGCCAGGCCAAAGAAGACCAGTTTCCTGTAGTGAATTGTGACTTGCGTTGAAATATGGGGCTGCTACGATAATCCTAAAAGCAAAAAATTATAGGTTATGCCAGGAGAGCTGTCCACATCCACATCGAAGCGGAATATTCGTGACCATAAAGTTTTCCTCAGCAGGTACAGTGTATTACGAGCGGCTAAAACCGAATGAAACTGTTGCTGCAGATGTTTATCGGCATCAATAGAACAAATTGAACGATGTATTGTTGCAAAAAAAACAGCAATAGCGGCTTACAGACGCAAAGACGTCGCTTTGCATGGCAACGCTCGGCCTTATGTTGCAAAAGTTGTTGAATCAATACCGTTTTTAGAGACAGTACCGCCAGAAAGACGGAAAAAATTGTAGAAAATAATGAAATATATTTTGATTAATGTACGTTATACCAACTTATTTCAATGAACGCCTCTTTAAAATGAAAAAAACGATCAAAATCCCTGCAACCACCTATTTAATTTAATAAATAATTGTAACACTCGAGTGAAGAAAAAGGAACTAAAGTTTTTTATATTAAGTAAACGGCAATTTCTTCTTCGAAGTGATTTAAAGGGTTTCAACGGTATAAATATTTCATGTCTATGTATTATACTTTATGTGCATACATACGCCCTTGCTTGTTTGTTAATATACTACTTTTAGGCAAGTTCGGACGATTTCGATGTTGCAGAATCATATAATAATAATTCGCTCTGCTTAGTTTAACTATATTGAAAATATAATAAGTTTATGATGTCTGGCAAAATACGGGCGAAAAATTGATGAATGAAACATAAAAAAACCAACTTGACCTTAACCGCGTGCGAATATGTTTTCCAAATTTTAAAAGTTATCGTTGCTGTCAATACTATATTGTCGATAACTATCAATACATTATACGGCTGCAGAATGATACAATGTAAAAGTGACTTCGATTAAACAGCCGAATTCAAACTATATTAACAAAAATTCCATTTAATGATGATATTTAGGATTCCTAGGACATGCATCCATTTTCCAATGCGCTTTTTTAATCTTAAGACAAGCTTGAGCAGGTACGTTTAGACGCTTGCCTAATCCAACGGATATACTTTTCAACTGCCGAAGAACGGTTTCGAGTGTTTTTGTTGAATTTTGGATAATATAGGTTTCAAACTGTATACTCACGAGCATCGATTGAAACTGTAAAGAACGGTTATACATTAAGTGGATACCCGGATCTGTAATGATTTTTGTTTTATGTTAAGACGAAAATTTAACGCAATAAGGTTTTATCGTAGAACAAAATCCATTAACTCACTAAAATAGTTCTTATCCTGATAAACACCTTAACTAAGACTCTCCAAATAACTCTAATCTTATCTTCCTCTAGCTTTTAAAACAGGTGATGAGTTTAGTTATAAGATCTATGATTCTTATAGCCGTCTTTTAGAAACTAAATAATACCTTTAACCTAACACCTCTTATTTGAGAGGGTAACATCTGTGTATTATGAAGACTTGTTTATGCAATTTTATTAATTATTTTTTGCTGTGAGTACTTTTCTATTTCATAGTAAATGTTCTGCGGTCAGGTGACAGAATAATTTACAACTCTATTTAGTGATTAAACTTCAATAGTAACTTAAGATAGCAATGATGTTAAATTGTTACATACAAATATTAATAAACGAATGCTTTTTTCTTGCAAATTGTTAAAGGACTGCGTAAAAGGCATAATAACAGAATAGCAGCAATCGGACAAGATGAAAATAGAATTGAATCACTTTGTGTATCCAATAAAAAGAGAATTTCGCCGGAAAAACTGTGGTTTCGATCATACGCCTGCAAAAGATTTTGTGAAGTCTCAAGTAAGTATAAGCCCCATATTACCAAGTAATAAAGCTGAACAAAAGGGGAATGTAAAGTATTACGAACATTCATAAAAGTTGGACGTAAAGCATTTTTTAGCTCTGCTAAGACAAGAAAATATCATTCACTTGAACAATGTATCAATATCAGTAAAGATAAAGTTCTATACAATTATCGGTTATTACGCTCAAACTGAGGAAAACGAATAGGAAACGAAAATTATATAAACGTTAACTGAGACAGTATTCGGTAAGGCTTATTAGGATATTGTCTAGAAGTTTTTTCTCGAAACCAAACAAAGGATTTTCGCCTTCAGGCATACATTTATTTATCTATAACCTATTAGGTAATAGCAACAGAGCTGTCGATATATAACCTATTTCAAGACTTCATGTTTCTTGCAATACCCATTATCGTTTAAATCTAGGAAATCCTGTACATAAAGAGGGAGACTACTTGAGCCTACATCTTAACTTTATCCATAAGTGTTATAGATGTAAAATTTTATATAGGTTACACATAATGATATTATTTGAGTTTGCTTGAAAAATAAACGACTTTCTAAGAAAAAAAAATTTCTAAAATGGAAAAATCAAATACGCTTTCGTGACATTCGTGATTAACAACTATTCTCAGAACATTTCGCAGTAAAAGGCAGAAGCATGTGATGCAAGGGATTCTATATTAATAAATTTTTCAAACGGAAGACCGAAATTGGTATACGGTTATATATCAGCAGGCATAAAATTGAGTGATTATTGGACACAAGCAATATTCACTTCGAATCACAAATTAAAAGTAACAACAGACGTATGTCTGTAAAAAAGCACACAATTTTCATTCTTGTCGCAAAGAGAAAATTGAATGAGGATGATAACAGTTGAGAAGGAAAATACGGGAACGTAATTGTTTTTATATATTTAGTTTGGTTTACGTTAAGAATTTTAAATGCGTGCTAGCGCATATAACTTTGTTTGTATTACGTTAATAACACTAATGATGGCTTTGCATTCATAAAAAGTGGGTCAAGGTTATGATCACATTGAAAACAAAAAGGTCTTCCTCAAGTTAAGCGCGAAAAAAATGCCGGGGGTTGGGATGTATTTAAATTCCCATGGCTATAAAAATGGAAGCAAAAACTTTGGGCCACCAAATAGGAACTGCTTAAATTCCGGAAATCGAGTTTGAAAATGGATACGAACTTATTGAATGGTAGCGCAATGCTTAAACAACTGTAAGCATTCGGAAAGAAGAAAGATGTTTTTAATTTTATAAACGTTTCTTGGAATAGGACTCTCAGTTGAGCTACTGACATGCCTAAAACGTTATTTTTACTGAGATGAAGATCTGCCACCATGCGCATCCTAGATCTTTATATTTGCCAACTGTTGGGCATGACTTCGGTAAGATGTATTCTATAATTATGCACCATAAGAATATGAAAAAAGTAGAACAATTACATTTGGTTTTGTTGAATCTTAACAACGCTTGAAGAAAGGAAAGCTGAACACCAAATGTTCGTGTCTTATAGTATCGAATAGAAATGGTCGAATTTTCTAATTATGGTGCAAGGCGATATCTTCATTTTTGCGAACGGGATATTGCCAGCTACCGATATTACGCAACTTCACAACTAGACAGCCAGTCGTAGAGACAGATATGCTTGACGGATTCCGAATTTGATGCTGATTAAGAATATATATACCTTATAGCGCGTGTATAGGTTTCCTTAGTGTTTTGCAAAAGTAATATATAAATTAAATATATTAAAATATGGACATAAACAAAGAAATTGTGCGTTATATTGATAAAAATGAAAAAAGAAGCCTATAATGGCTACTCACAATTCAGTGTCTTCACATATGGAACCTATATCAACAAGAAGTGGCACCATAAAACTGAATCGTAATATTTTTGGGGAAAACAGCGGCATTTTCATCTTTTTGCAAACTATCATTCTGCAATGCAATCCACTCATTATAATAGTCGATCTAGTTGAATTTTTGAGATGGTATGGTTCATTTGCTGTGCGAGTGCAAAAGTTCCAATCCAAAACGGTTGTCTATCGTGGCAAGAGGTTTCTTCGGTTATGTTTCTTGGTTTTCGGAGTCTCAGATGCGACAGTTTTAATTGTTCACATATCGCGATAGATGAAAATATGTTCTGATTCTAGAATATTCGCTTACTTTTTAGGGATAATAGCACTGCAACACCGAATCCAATTTTGCAAGGCATCGTTAATGTAAATAGCACAGTGCCAAACCTTGTTGTAGATGCCAATTTGATTCTAAAAATTCCCTCAGACTTAAAAATATTGATTTTTGTGTGATTGCCGAGTGTTTGATTTATAATGTTCAACTTTTGATCAGCAAAGGCATCCGCCTTGTTGCTTTAAGCCCTAAGGAGGATTTTTTGGTTGTTGCAGAAACAGGAGCATCGCGCTTAATGAAATACCATCTTAAAGGCAGCAGTGCTGGTAAAGGCAAGGTCTTTGTCGAAGGTTTGCCTGGATTGCCCGACAATTTAGCGCCAAACGAAGATGGAATTTGGCTTCCGTTAATTCTCTCTGTGGACAGCCAGAATCCTAGTCTTTTTGCCATCTTCTCGGAATTCCATAATTTGCGTTTATTTTTGTGCACTTTATTGGCCACGGCGAAAGTGTCTCTTTTATGATTCCGAAACGTTCTACAATTGTTCGTCTAGATTGGGATGGCAATACAGTGGGATCTTTGCATGGTTTTGATAAAAGTGTTGAAGCGGCCTGTCATGTGTTAGAATTTAATGATTATTTATATTTGGGATCGTTCGTGTTAAATCGCCAGTGCCCAAAAAGCCAATGCTACAAGCCCGCATAAATAATGTGCGATATGAAGGCATGGAAATTGAACCTCTTTGAAACCACGAATGGAAAAGACGAGAACAGCGCCACCAGTCGTTACTAAACCTACAGTCACAAATGCCAGATCTACTCCGACAATACCGAAGCCCGTTATCTCAGCAAAAACAACCGCCGTCCCTTCTGCAAGCACGGCGACGGCAAGGACGTCATTAAAATCGAGCACTACAGAGAAGCCGAGCGCAACCAAAACTGTAAAAAGTCCATCCATGGAGGGAATTCGAATACCGAAAGAACCTGCCCCCATAAAAGGGAATACTCCGGCTGATAATGTGGCGCCAAAACAGGAAAAACTTAAAGTAATTAATAAGCATGGGAAACATGTGGAACTTTAATAAGATTTTTCAAATTCACAACACCATATATTTCAAAAGCAAAAATTCTTTACTTAATTTAAGCAGGGATAATTGGGATTATCTATCTATCTGCACATTCGAAATTTTAAAAAGTCAAAAGCCAATCGTATCTTATGCCAATGTCAACTGTATAAGCACGAAGGTAACGAGCTTTAACGAATACTTATTATTATATATACCTTTCTAGTTACAGCAAAGTAAATGAACTTTAATTTTTCTTGTCTGTCTATCCCAAAAAAAAAGGATGATGAAGAAACATTTATTACTCAGCGAAATGGTTTTGGTTACTGTAGCGCGGGATGAGGATTTGGATCGATTTAGATGTAGATTTTTTTAAAATTATAAATAAAGTCAAGTCCGATAGTGCACTATTCATTGTATACCTGTCCGTAACTACCTCGTAGTAGTTAACAAAAATGAAAGAAAAACTAACTTTTTCCCCTTAATTATATTACCAACTTTCAAACTGATAAGTGCTTAATTATTGTTTATTAAAAATTGAAAAATATATATTTTATTTACTTACAATCAAAGCAATTAGAAAATCTAACTCTAAATATTCCGAATAATATATTTCTTAAATATTATTTAAAATAAAAAAAGAAAATAAAAAGAAGCGAAAAGATGAATAAACGCTAAAATTTAGTATACTAATTATAATAAGGCTTTTTAATTTGCTAAATTAAGCAAAAAGTCGTTTTCTTCTTCGGACAGGGTCGACTTTTCATACACTTCAAGTGCGCCGTTTTCGGATTGTATTTTGATCATAATTTATGCAAGTGCGCCGTTTCTGGATGCTATAGGTGGAAAAAAAAATTTTTGAGGTTTAAATGACGATATTATTTCTACAATAATTTTCAAGTATTCACAACACATCTCGCTTCAATAAACATAACTTTAATAAAAAGCTTTTTATGGAATTGCGAGTGGAAACTGAAGCCTCCATAAAGTGACGCTTATTGGCGATATACATAGTCACCACTTTTGCTGTCAAATGAACCTTCCTGAAGTGAGCGCAATGTTAATGTGAAAGGTAGACCGAGTTCTCTTACCAACATTGAACCATCCTGTTCTTGCCCCAAAACACGCCATTCATATTTGGCAAACCTACTTCCTATTCTGTATATGTAATGAGCATAACATTTGAAGAATTATTTTATAATAAGGCAAGATATGAAACTGCTGAGATCTCAAGAACAGTAAATTAGTTTAAATGAAATGTTTGGGCCCATAATTGGCTCCATAATCTTTACTAAAATGTTATGGAAACTTTTTTTCCATTTTGAAACTTTCCATTATGTAAATAAGTTGAAAATGGAAAATAGTAACAATGCTCAAAATCACATTCTTTCTAATACGAATAACTGCTAACACATCATCGTCATACGATCACGCCAATACACATATACACCGCTATAATCGTATTCTTTTTACCAACATTAACAATATTTATATATTAATGCTAGAATAGAAAATCGACACGAGAACAGTGAAGTGATCTAAGTCTATTTATTTCACAATCGAAATACTTAAGTATAATACTTTGTTTTGTTTTGAACATTTCGCGTTGTTCTTGAAATGCAGGTATAGAAACTATTTGGTTATCAATATCAAGAGTATCAAATTAAAGGGTGTCAACAGGTCTTTGTAAAAAAGCCATCGATGCGAGAATAAGCGTATATATTCTCAATAATTTGTATAAAAATTCCAAACAACTGAGAAAATAAAAATTCCATACAACTGAGAAAATAAAAATTCCATATAATTGAGAATGTTTGAATACGTTTGTTTACAAATCTAGATAAGTTTGCATGTATTGTACCACTTTAAAGAATAAGCGCATATTCGTTCTCACTAATTCAACAGGTTTTGTAAAAAAGCCATCGATGATCTTTCATTGTATATGTGAAAACACTTGCAGAATTAAAAAGTGTTGCCATATATACGTTTGCTAATGGAAAATACTTAAATTAACTTATCGAGAATCTCTATACAGATTTTTTCATTTTAAAATATCCATCAAAGAGCATTATTACAAGTTCCCATAAAAAGAATTAGAATTGTTGGTGTAATGTTTTGAACCATCGTGTTTCGAGAAAGACACGGTTAAATTTTCGAAGTGTGTCAAAGATATGTTTTTCATTATGTTAATTGCTTATTAAATTTTACTATTAGTCTGCAATCTTAACGGCACGAAATTTCCCTTCCATCTTCAAATATTGCTCATTCATTCTATTCACATAACTCGGAATCATATGTCTTACGCATGACAGACTAAACAGTAAAAAAATTTATTATGCACCAGATTTCTTTTGTACCACTCATATAAGCCAAATTGACGAACTTCTATTGAGAGGTGCTTTTAAATGAGCATAAATTTCTAAAGAATTCTGTTAGTATATCAGAAAAGTTCAGAATCAACAGGCAACATACTGGGTTTCTTTTCAGGGAAGTAGGAAATAGAAAAATTAACATCTATATAGCTTTTAGCATCACTTAAAATATAATATATTAAAAGTTTCTTCGACATTTTTCATGCCCGTTTTATACATTGTCAGCAATTGTGCACAATGAAGATCTCTTCATTTCTTATGTTTATTGTACCCATCACCGAAGGATGAGGAATATATTCATTTTGTCAAAACGTTTGCACAGACTAGAACAAAGCATCACAGACCCTACAAAGTGTGTATATTCCTGATCAGCATCTAATTCTAAATCGATTTAATTTTCTGGCCGCAAAAATGAACCTATCGACTTCAAATTTGGCAGCAATATTGGAAGTTCTTGCAGGCAAATTGGTATTGAAATTGGGCTAGATAGACCGAGGTATACGCCTGCAGTAATGAGTAATCTGAGAAAAACTTTGCTTTTCAAAAAGAACAAAAAAATTTGTTTTTGCTTAATACTCATAACCTATAGCAAATAAATGTACAAAAATTTCACCGCATATTCTATGGGCGATGCTGCATCATTTGTAAACAAAAATGGATAAAATTGACCAAGTATACCTAATAGTGTAATGTATCAAAATTTAATTGTTTTTTAATATCTTTATAACGCGTAGAAACAAGTTTCAAAAACCCCATAAAGCATACAAATTCTGGGAAAGTTCAAATTTGGAATGCACCTAATCATGTCCGCTTGTTCGTCTGTCCATCCTTCTGCTTGCCCAACTTAGTAGTATTTGTGGTAAACATTCTCCCGTTAGCGAAAATGAAGCTTTTGCCTATAAATTCGCAAAAGTATTTGGAATTGACCTACACTGATCAAAGGACACGCCCACAGCATCCACATCCTTATACGATAAAAACTTTTATTTTGGATATGTGAAATTTGTTCTTTTTCTTCTTTTGTCTTTCTTTTGGGGTAAACCGACAGAATTTCATTTTCTTACTTGTTTTTTTTACATTTTAGTGGCAAAATCGCAGCAACAGTATCGCGTATTTAATATATCGTTGGATTTTGGTCGCGTTCTTTATGGCGACATTAATAGTGTCAATGATGGAGGCAGCTAATAATTCAGCTCTTCTATTGTTATTCATTTATTTTACCACTTGGAGCGTTATACAATGCTTGCTAACAAATTCAATTGCTGCTGTCCTGACAACTATTTGGCATCTTCAACCTGAATATGCGGGTAAGCAAGCAATTATAAACAAAATAAATAAAATTTGTAGAAATTCGTTTGCATCTACGTATAGTAAACTAGAACGGGATGCAAATTTTATAGACGATCTTTTATGACACAGAGCGCCAATAATTGTCGATACGAAAATTTTTGTACTATTTGTTTACTGCTATAGACGGCGCCTACTGCTCATTACAACATGTTTATTTTCACTTGGGCGAGACAAAGTATACTTGATAGTAAGTTTTAATTACCTTTGCAAGGGGCGAAAAGGGTGCAATTTTAATCAAGGTCTAACTAATTGCCTGCCAGTCATAAAAATTTGGGTGATGGATACTAGCGTTCAATCGTAGGCTGGTCACACATGCCAAACGGTAAAGAAGCACCTTTGATCATAAAAAAGAAGTATTATGGTCGGAGGGAAGTATTTTGATAATCGAATTATCCTTTTTTTATGCTCGTAAAGCATTTCAAACCGTTTTTCTCGAAACGAAATTCAATAATTCTTGTTTTTTTTCATTTAAAAGGGGTAAGTAAGCGGTCTTCGATAGATTCGTTTGATTATTATTTCTTAACCAAATCCTCTAGACACACCACAATGGTTCCGTTGTCGTCAGGAAGTTATAACATTAATTTTTTCCCATACTTAAATGTGCGTTTAACGACGTTCTTGAAAGTTAATATTCTATTAGCCTTTCCGATATCGAGTTGTTCATGTGTTCTGAATAGCGCGTGTTTTCATTGTCGTCTGTGACCTTTTTTGATTGCTTTGATTTTTCGCGTATCTGGCTGTTGTGTTCCTAAGAGTTTTTGCTTGTTGGGCCTTTTGCTAAGCTAATCTTCTTTATACTGAAACCCGAAAAAAAATTAAAAGCAAAAATAATTAAAAATTGTAAGCAATTGACAATCGACATGTTATATTATTTAGTCGTTCGCAATCTTTTTCCAAGTATTTCCTTTTTCTTAAGTCACCATATAATAAGCACAAAAAAAAAAAAACCATTATAGCCCCGGGGCCGTCAGATAAAAATTCCAATAGATTTCATTTATTAACGGACAAATCACCTCAAAGGAAAAAATAAAAAATTCCGACTTTCCGGTATTACGAAGCAGTACCCCAGGTTCAAAGATGCAATAATGCATCATCTCTCGTCTTCCTGTATATTTTGAAAGTTGCGTAGTGTAGGAGAATGAGTAGGTGAATGTTTTTTTTTTTTTGTTGGGAATCGAGTCAGTACTGATTTGAGTTGGTAGTGATTAGTCAATAAAATTTGAAAAAAAGAAAAGAAAGAAAAAAAAGAAAAATTTTGTCATTTTATAAATTTTTGAACAAATCTTTTAAATTGCCATTAGAAAATTTTTGCTTAACAGACTTTTAAATTAATTCATATCAATTAATAATAAAAAAAAAAATACAATTGTAAAATTTGTTAAAAACGTTACGGATACGTTTTAAACTGTTGAGAGAGTGCCTGCGGATACCACAAATTCCTGTACGACTACGTGTATCGGCGCAGCAGAACTCAAGAATTGCAAAGATTTAGTGATTTTTTCCACAATGAGTCAAAACTCTAAAGAGCAACGAAAAATCCCAAAGTCTTCTGTATCTCCTGTAGCATTTGGAAAAAAAGACTTTCTAGGCCTCAACGCATGTTCATGTCCTTTGAAATGATTGGTCACATCACACACAATGATTGGAAGTTTCAGAGTCATTTAATTGTTTAGTTTTTTTTCATATTCGGCGAGTTTTAATTCAGTTAAATGTTACTGTTAATTAAATAAATTATTTTGGCAATAAGTTAATTAGTATTAATTTATAGCTCATATTATTTAACATAATCATTAATTATATGCATTGTTTTGTAATATATTATTCATATTGTTTATTTCAATTATAAATGTTTTATAACTAATTTGCTTGGAATGATACTGCCTGGCGAAGTAAGTTTACACACTACACTACACTTTTACTTGCGACACGTAAAAATTATTAAAATTCTGTAGGGTAAATTTCACTTATGGACTCCCTAATTTCGGCAAGCTAGACGCAATTTGGTTGAAAACCCTTTTAGTATGCTACAGTAGTTTCTGCATAAACTGCAATGCTCAACACTTGGCGTTAGGCAAACAATGTCTAAACTACTGTAGCACGGGCGAAGCGGGACGCAAGTACCAGGAAATAAATCCAACTGGAATCCAAGGAATTAACAAAAGCAATACCAATGCTTCCTCGCTCTTACGCTATGTCGCATCGCAAAACGATCTTAATAAGCCTTTCACTCGAACTCGTAATCAAACCTGTTCTATCGTCAACGAAAAACCATATTGAAAAACCAAATCTTCCACCCGTTAAAAATAATGTTGAAAACATCAAAGCAACAACAAATTTTGAAAAAATCAAAACAGCAACATGTATCCTAAAACCTAACAAGCTAAATACCTCAGAATCACCATCTCTCAATTCCATTCAACAAATTACAATTTGCAATGAATCCAATCCTCCATGCTTCAATCAACCCTCAATTTCACTCTTTGCACTTCACTCAAAATTCCTGTAGCGATATTGTCAACGGAGAAGCTGACATGTCAATATAACCCATCTATCACTCCGTTCTCATGTCACTACAATTAAATGAAATTTTTAAAATTCTACAGTGGAACATTAAGGGACTTTATTAATAATTTTCATGAACTTCGCACACTTATAAGTGAATTTAAATCAAACTTTATATCCCTTCAAAAGACCCATTTTAAAAGTTCGTTTAATCCTATTCAACCCAGATCATATACTGGATACTTCATGAATGCTGATCAAAATTCTTATTACAAACAAGGAGTTGGTGTCTTTATAAAATCTAATATCCCTCGCAAACGACTTAATTGAAGTGCAAACATACAGGACATAGCAATACGAATAACCATTAAGTGAAAGGTCATTCGCACAACTGCTCATCTCTCCATTCGACAATCCATGGTGGAACAACTCGCTTTCGTTTTTGAGGAAAAAAAAATTGATTTATGGCACCGCTTTAAAGGATGTCGTAGTCATAATCATATGTTATTACATAAAAAGACCAATGATCTATTCAGGAACGAATTACGAAAATCAAAGGCTCTCAGTTTTACTATTTTTTGCCAAAAGAATTTACAACGAACACATCAATGGAAGTTGCCTGTAACAAAATCAAGAAACTCAGTTGGACCTCGAATTCGAATGAAAACCGGCGGTAGTTCTTCCAAATGCAAAGTCTATAAATGTCTCCTTTTTCAAATCATTCATGTCGGATCGACAGTTTAATGTTAGAGTTAACAATTGTCTCTCTGATTCTATTCCACTAATGAACTTCAGTTCACAATTTCAGATCGCTTTCGGAATCGAACATTATGTTTGAGCGGACAATGTGTATATTTTAACAAAAGAAGGCAATCAACATCCTCGAATATATTGCACGAGAAATCTCTATATGGGCAAATTCATCAGGCGTTAAAATTTCAATATAAAAATCAAAAAATTACTTACCAATACAAAATGTGCAGATGCTCAATGCTCTTGGACTGACATTTTCCAACAAATATTGTTGGAAAGCATGCTGTCTTCGGTTAAAAAGTTCCACTTTAACAATAAATTTCATACAATATCTTGTTTGAAAAAGCAATGCGAATATTAACACTATTCCTTGTCTTACCAAAATACTTGTTTTGAGCAAGACTGACTATTATTTGATAATTTATGGCAATAGCTGCAAAGCTAATATCAACAACTTTAAACTGATCTATCACCAAGCCCTAAGCGTAAGTTGCTACGCTCTTCGGATGGCGCCCTTTAATAATATCATAATTGAAACTTATCTCCCAGCTTTAGAAGATAGACTTTACGAATTAAAAGTTAAAATCGTCCCCTTCTTAATTCAATTAAATCTATTCCCGCTGAAGATGAGATTAGGACTAAGAAAATTGGAAAGTCACAATCCGCAATCGGCTATTGTTTGTTGGAAAGGCATAAACATTGCTCTAAAAATTTCCCGCAATTTTGGTCTTAAACCTTAATGAGTTTTGAAGTACTACCCTTTTGACATTTCGCTATATAAGTACAAGAAAGAAGACACTCCAAATTAGGCGTTCAGGAATCAAATGGCGGAAAAAACCAAAACATGTAACGGTCGGAATCTTTCATGAGAAGACGGCTTTAAATCCTTCGGTCTCCCAACCTTGTGCCGTGGTAGATGCTTCTGAACAGGTTCTTCTTAATCACATATGTCATGAAAGTGCTTTAACTTTCACAAGTGAAGCGAGAGCTATCCTTCACGCTACGAACGTTTCTCATAAAGATAAATTCAAAACTGTCATTGTTACCGATAGTTTGTTCGTATTAAAGTTTTTAATTCGGAAACTTTCGACTTCGACAAGGAGCACCATCGACAAATTAACGAATATCATTAGGGCATGCGACCATAAAATTAAAATGCTTTGGTACCAAGAAAATGAGCAATCTGATCGAGTCAAAACTCCAGTTCAAAATTACAGAGAGAAATAAGAGAAAAAAATAAAGAGACAATTATGAAAGGAAATCTACAATAATATCATCCACCCTATTCTTTTATTAACTCTCAATTAATTCCAACAAATATTGACGAGATGAAGTTCAAAACATTTTCGAGAATTCGCCTTGGCCATACAAGTGAAACTCTCTAATGGATCTTAAACTAGTCTTTTTCTTCAATCTGCTATTGTGAACAAACTCTCACTATAAAGGACATTCTTTGTGACTTTTCCTTTGCTGGAAATATTGCATTTGGAGCAACTAATCCGATGGACATCCTGAAAAGAGCTACAGAACGCAACATCAATACGATATGTTACTTTATTAAAACTATTAGTCTTAATATCTAATGTTCTTTTGGAAGATAGAACCCAAAGTCTGTGTTGCTAATGCTCAAATTTTTTTCTTTCTAGTCTAAGAATTTATTTCGTTAGTCTAAAAATTATAATAATAATAATGATGCCTTTCCTTCTAACTCAACGAATAAAAAGAAAATATTTTTTTGGGCTGTTAAAATAGCTTCACCCTTAAGTAAAAATAAATATATTTTAAATGGACTCGAACCTTCTCGTAGAACTTCCAATTAAGAAGAATCACCTCGAAAGAAGATCTTTCAAATCCGATGTCTTCAATTACCGACTTATATACGGCATGACCTGAAAAACTGACACTTCTCAAAAGGTTTGTTTCGTCATTACAGGCAAACTCGTGACTCGTGAGTCGATTTGCAATCCCTTTAATATATACTGGGCTATGCATGTTCTGTCGTTGGTGACATCCATTTTGGTCACCATAATTTATTGGTGTTTTCTCTATGAAGGTAAAAAAAAATTTAATGAGCCAACAAATGGAGTTGTTTTTGACATAATGTTCCTCTTTCCAGCCAATGAAGATAGCTTAAGTGCCGCAAATATTTTAACCCATGTCCTTAATAGTATTAGCATGTTCAGTGATTTGTTAATAGTGGCACACCCCTTAAGGCTACTACATATATTTTTACCTATCGCTTATGGACTAATTTATGCCTTCTTCTCAATCATTTATCAATTCAGTGGAGGACGTAACAGGTACAATTTATTTCATGTATTGCGATAATTTTTAAATTAATCGTTTTTTTATTTAAAGCAAAGGCAAACCATACATTTATTATCTCATTGATTGGCGACATCCCTTAAATTCGGCGGTTAACACAATAGCGATACTACTGTTTTCTTGTTGTATTTATTGCGTTTTATTCGTTATTTGCAAATTGAGAATTCTCGCATCCAAGCATCTCAACAAATTCGCAATTTTTCCGCCTACCGTGCAGTTATCAAACACATCGATTAAAAATTCATGTGGTAATGGTACGCGACCGTCCCCGTCCAGCGTATCCATGGTATTGGGTCAAACAAATTTGGCATTTAACAGTGCTTCCGTGACCATTCATAAATCTTAAGTAAAGGAAAGGAAGGATTAAGAAAAAAAGGAGCTTCTAATTACAGATTTTCTTCCCCTTTTTTTTTATGTGTGCCTATAGTACTGTTGTGTTTTTATTTCGGATGCAATCCAATACGCACGTTACTTCACCCAGAGAGCCTCTAGGGGTTTGCGTGGAAGCTCGAAAAGAAAAATTCTTATTATATTGTATAAAAAGAACACCGTTAATTAACTGACAAACTTGAAAATGTTAAATTTTCTCTTTCTAATTATGTAAGTTTACATAATATTCATTAAGGTAACATATCTAAATAAGATATAGAAAATATGAGATATACGTGATCATTCCTCAGGTTATAGAAAATTTACTACTAAATTACACTCTCCTAGCGTTGGTGAATGGAAAAAGTTTTGATAAGTGAAATATAAACAAATTTATGCAAACAAACAAGAAAAAATTAACAAAGGTGCATATCATTTCAGCATTCAAGAAGACAAATATTATATTAGATTTCTGCGATTCGGTACTTTTTTTTATAAGTTGTTATAAATACATTTGAGTACTGAAAAACTCAAATAAAATGATAGCACATATAATAATTAGCTTGAAGCCTGCCGGCAGCATTCATATCACTCTTTACCACATCTGATCTGCACTCGTCGGAACTTTTTCCCAACTTTCTCCATGTTTTCAGAAAAGATTGATTCGACCGCACTGGTGGTGGTGTTTTAATTAGTATATCAGTTAACCGTCTGTCCTAGTCATTTTAGTTTCACCCGGCGTCAAATTTATTGCCATTCGAATGAATTTTGGTAACAAACAGTTACGCAAACACTCTTACATTTCTGCAATTGCGGATTTTTGTAGTTATAAGATGTATGTCGTTCTTATTTGTGACGTGTCTAACGGAGAAAGCTGTAAATTGCTAGCCACCTTAGCTTAGCTGAGGTGCCGTATCTCCCAGGAATTTGTATATCCTTTCTTTGACAGCAGAATGGCCCGTTGAATCACTCTAACACGTCTAATACCATTTGTGTAAATATGCAATATGATTTTAATAAAGCCATAACTCTTCTTTCGAAGAAGTTGACCGTCGTAGTTCAACAGAGCATTAAAATACCATAAAAGTAGGAGATCCAAACATTTCAAAAAATATATGATAGTAGCTCTGCGTACGGTTATTTTGTGCGAAAGTCCTCAATTTTCATTAATCCTGAACATTTTTTAAAACTGTTAACTCGAGAAGGGGCATCTTCATATATATTTCGCATATCTGTTTTAACGGCTCTCATTGTTCTGGCTATTGAACTCCCTGAATACTGCCGACGAAATTTTTCTTCTACTGACTTCGATTTAACTGATAATTGTCCATATCAAATCATTGACTAGATTTCGATTCAGAATTGTGTCATTTTGGAAAATGACGTGTTATAAGGTTGAAGGTCGTTGAAATATACTCGCGCGCCAAATGTGTGATGTTATCTCAAAAATTTTTAATAATTTTCTTAAGACAAGCCTTTCCCTTTATCTTGGAAGAGCAGCTCCTTCATTCCACTTCACAAATATGGAGACAGATATATCCGCAAGGACTTTTGCAATATTGCCAAGTTAAGCGCGTTACCTAAATTATTTCAACAAATTAGCACTTACAGATTAGCTTTCGCTATCAAATCTTTTATTTCCCCATTTCAGCTTGACGTTCTAAGAAGAACATCAACTGTTGCGAGCCTTTTAGAGTTTACTTCTCACGTTTTTAAGACTTTCCCCATTTGTCGACGCGCGAATATGGATTGATTTCAGTAAACCTAGAACTAGTTAGCCGTAAATTAGCCATAAAATATTCAAGCTTCAGGACTTCGGCTTTACTTTTTTTTATTATTTATTTATTTACACATGAAACTCCGCTAACATAAACTTATAACGGAACTAGATTCTAATACTAAATCTTAAACATAAATCTTATCTATTTATTATTATTATTATTATAAATTTCGCCAGAGAAATAAATTCTAAGACTAAATTCTTAAAAGCACTAGCATCTAAGGCTATCGGCTTTTAATAAAAACTCTACCGCACTTGAGATTTGAACCAGCGACCATTGACTTGCTAGTCGAGATTCCTCGCCTTCGGCTACTCAGGCGGATCTTATCTATTTAATATGACTAAACTGTTACAAAATATAGCAAAAAGAAAAAAAGGTACAAAAAAATAAAGACAAAATACATGTCTAAGTAAACAAAAGAAAAAAAAAGCGAAACATACAGAAGCTTAGTAGTGAACATATTTAGTTCTATCTACGAATCATGCGAAGCTTTAATGATTAACAGTTAATACGACATTAAAAACAATTAACAGTTAGTTTAAATAGGAAATAGGTGGGGCTCGCATATTATGGAGAATGGCTTTAAAGAGACTAAACAGTCAAATGCGGAGGTTAAGTTATAAATATCATTTAGAATTTTGCGAAGGTTTCTAAGTGAATTGAAAAGCTCATAGGTGTATCTGCATTAACTGAGTTTTTTGAAAATGAAATGTTTCGAAGAACATTGAAGTTTATCTCAACTAATAGTGCCAGCGAGTCAATGGGAAAGGCCAAGCACAAATCTACGTTTGTTAAGGAGAATAAAACCAGAAAAGGCCGTTTATTTTCCTTAGCAGACAGAATTGTGGCAAGGGTTTAACGTGGGTTCCTGCCTGAAAGGCTTAATCCCACGGTGGCCCAAGCCACTTTAAGCGTACTACGCCCCCTGGCGAGTTAGACAATCCCAACAGAGTAGGGGCCTAAACAGCACCAGAGTCCAGAACGGTTTATTGTGTATGGAACAATAAACCCCACTCCAGTCAATGGTGAGGCCTAGCTGCACTCAAATTGTTCCATTTTAGCTAAGAACTCGCCAACCACAACCACCACGCGTACTCCCCGAAGGGCCGCACCCAAGCAGTCAGGACTCACAAATTGATCTACGCTTGCTTCCGCGATAAGGCTTCCACTGTACTGTTGATCAATTACCACCATTACCCGCAGGCATCCGTGACATATGTTCAAAAGTAAAAATAGGCAAAAGGGGAAAAACCTTTCCGTCAAATCCCTTTTTTCATTTTTGCATGTATTAAATTAATTTGCCAGAGGTTTTCTATTAATCGGCCAAAGGGAAGGCCGTCCGTCAATTCCTTTTTGCATTAATAATAAAATTAATTTATTCATTACGACTTTAAGAACAAAGTCCATCATACACCCGCAGACATACGTGGCTTTGTGAGGCGAGCCTCCTGACCCCCGTGGCTCCCAGTTTGTTTTACAAAGCCTTTGGCATACTTTCGGCGGATATTAAAAAACAACCGTACTTGCTTCGGATTCTCCATACTTTCCTGGTTGCCAGCACCAGTGAACTACTTTTCTTCGAGATATATAGGTCTCGGGTATTGCACTGACATGGCAGAGTGATCTACCATGCACTCGCTAGATTACTACCTTCAACGTACTTAAACCCATTCAGATATTTCCTAGGTAGTAACCAGCTATTGAGTGAAGAGCTTATCTTCCAGCCAACCCCTCTACCATCTCTCAGAAACTCGTCGCCGAGTTAGCAGCCCAAAACCTTAAACTCTTCTTAGCCGGCCGAAGCCGTTGCCCGGGGATCACCACTGTGAGGTGAGAGTTTCGGTACATCTATGCTTAGGAGACAACAAGAGAAGCAGGTCTCAACCCGAATACCTCAAGGCAAAAAGCAGGAGTTGTTTTTGAACTAACAATGTTGAGTAAGCTTGGCGCCTATAGGGTCATGAGGCGTATTCAAGCATTGATCTCACTAAGCTAGTGAATAGCCTTTTCGTAATGCTGGGTAAAGCCAAGTATAGACTTAGTTTTAATTATAGATTAAAAGGGAGTTTTTGGCCAAGCAATACCCCTAAATTAATAAACGTATCTACATTTTCCAATTTGTGTGAATTGTTGAAATGCTCAATCGAAAATGGATTCCACCTACAAAAGGAAGGCTTCTTGCTTTTCTTGTAGGTTTAATTTCATAAAATCTGTTGAGTACCATGTAATCAATTTGTGCATATCCCGCTGAAAGAGATAAGAGTGCGATTTCACCCTAAATGACAAAAACAATTTTGCGTCATCAGGATATAGCTGAACTTGATCACTGAAAGTAAGTCATTCATATGCAGTATAATTAGCAAGCGTCCTAAGGGATCCCTTGAGGCACACTTCGACATTTATCATATGTGATGGAATTGAAAAGAACCTTGAATGATCTACTATGAAGATAAGTACCTATCCATTTCAATGTATGAAGGCCCCAGAGCTTGTAGTTTAAAATCCAATAAATGATAACTAACTATATGATAAGCGTTATTAAAAATTCCGTATACGACATCAGTATCACAGCCACTATAAGAAGCTTTGAAAATAAGACAAGCAAGCTTTACCAAGTAAGTAACGGTTGACATTCCTGTTAAGAATATATACTGATGTAGATAAATCGAAAAAATGACAGCGAAAGCTAATTGTTGGGTAACAGTTCCTTCAAACAACTTAGGTAAAACATTCAACTCGCCAATGACTCTGCAATTCTCGACTATTTGCCTGCATTTTGTGCATAGGAATAATAAAGCTGCTCTTCTAGTATAAAGGGAATCTCCTATCCCCAGGGAAAGATTACACATCTTCATACAAACCACATAGTCAAGAAATGGTGCCAGGTCCTGGTGTAAAACTACATTTCAGCGACCTCAACGCTAGTAATACGTCACTTTCAGAAGTGATCAAATTCGGGATCGCTATAGAGTTTATGATTAGATAGAAAAGTACCGTCGGAAATACTGGATAAAGAGACTCATGGCTTCTGCATCCCTAGATGAATCAAAATCATTAAACGACGTCGATGATGGATTTATGGAGACTCTCCTTTTGAAGATTATTAAGAGTAAAAATTTTATTAGTTGAAGATGTCTACTGAAAACTGTGCACATGTGATAAATTTCTTATTCTTTTTGGTCATGTTCACTCACAGCATTGCCGTTTATTGAAAGCAACTCTGTTGTCTCTCCATGAAAGTAACTCTTGTCTCACATGATCCTTTTTTTTATAAATCTTTTAAAGTAAAAAATCCAGCTAAGGTTTTAATTTGCACACTGGCCTCTCTTTCACTTAAACTACGACTTTACGTTACAAAAAGACTGTGCATTAGTTTAGTCAAACCAATGCTTGGCTACGCCTCTGTTGTGTAGTCTGCTGCCTATAGAAGCTTTGTAGAATAGAGTATCGTTCAACAACAATTTCTCCTCTTTGCATCTGCGAATTAGGGCTAGGACGCGCTTATCTCTTTGCCTCCTTATGAAAACAGATTGTTAGACTTACCTTCAGTTGGGAAACGTAGATTTTATCCCAAGTATTTCCTGCTTAATTAAGTTAATAAAAGATATCATCGATTCACCGACATTACTTTTTGAGATAAAATCTACTGTTCCGAATCGTTTTTATGAACTTTATTTTCGTAAAACTCGACCAATGTAGATTTTAGAATGAGCTTTTCAACCAAAACTCATACTTTGCAAAAATCTAAAAGACATTTGTAATTTAATCTCAATATCCGATTTTCTAAATTTTACCAAATCAACTATTGTTAATACGCGCGAAGTCGTGTTCAAATTAACGTTTAATATTAATATATTAGTAAGATTCGAATATTAACTGAATTTGTTTACCGTCATCAGTTGCTAAGCTTTGGCCTCTTTGCAACGACTTAAAGGTTCGCTCAGACCTTGGATCTGGACTGGCTGCGGATGTGTCTTTGTATCAGAGGTGTATACGCCTTTTCTCTTTGTTTATACAAGAATTTTATCATTTTTATTGTTTCATCATCATTTTTTTCTTCATTCACAACTATAAAAGAAGTATACAAAATCTTGTTAAAAAATTTATTATTTTTCACTTTGAAAATTAAAGTTTGACCGAAATTAAAATTGTGAATTTGTGAATTGTAAAAAAAAGAAAAAATAATTTTTTTTGGTCAGGGTAAGTAAAATTTTTTTTATAAATATCGAGCTAATTAAAGAGTGTTCATTAATGTACACATTACAAGCACAATATACCTTAACTTTCTTTTATGCTCGTTCATTGAGGAATGATACAAGCACAATCACTACGCACAAGAAAGGATCACCACGGGAAAAAACGACAAAGGCCTTTCCGGATGCTTCCGACCCCCTAACGTTACCTCAATAGTTCGTCGTTTCCAAAGCAGTTCTTCATTACTTCCTAGGAGAAATTAGTATGAGGAGTACATATATACCACTGGCATTGCGCTTAGCCATTATAATATTTTTACTATTTATTACAGTGGCTGGATGTCTTGGTGGTTAAACTAATTTTTATTAATCGGAAAGAAACACAGGCTAAATGAAATGATAGTAAGTAATGTAAATATTTCTTCTTATATATATAACTTTTTATTACATAAATATAAACATTTCTTTTTAGATTTGTGACCATGGCAGGAAAGTCATGGCAGCCAATTTCAGATTTCCTGGGTTTTCCCATGATTCGCTTGTGTGGAGCCACTGCGGTGAAACAGCTTACCCAGAACACTATTAAATTGGGCATGATTCATCGCTTGTCTGCTCAGTAAGCGGCAAAAAAAAAATTATAGCACCCAAAAAACTACAACGTTTTAATATTTTTTTAGGTGATAGGGGGTATGTCCTAGATCCTTGTCTAATGACACCAAATGCAATGAAATGCATTGCAAGGCGTGGAACATTGTAAAAAAATGCATTGGTATGTATAAAAGTTAGTATTACAGTATTTAATATTTCGGAAATTTAAATACAGAGTTTGAATATATCTGTAGGTCGCTGGAGTAATCTGCCGGAAGATCGAAAGAGCTGCTACAGACAAAAAAAAGCTGAAAATAATCGTAAACGTTTATGCGACGTTGCACAACATTTGCGTTGACTAAAAAGTGGAAGAAGATCATTTGGATGCTCCAGCTCTCCAGATGATCTATGAAGATGATGGTTTTATAAAAAAATGTACTGCTGACCAGTGTTCGAAAATATTTCAATTTTGTTAAGAAATAATCTACTAACAATACAATTTTTGATCCACTTTTATCAACCTATTGTCACCATTTTGTCCTACTTTGCTCTCCACTCCTTGCGTTGTCGGCAGTTTCGGGGAAACTGTTTCCTTACATTATGTTCACTTATTAATAAGGCTAATAACTGCTAGAAACAATAAATATTGCTAAATATCAAAATTTGTCCGTTCCAGGATATTTTTAACAAATGGAATTGTTTGTAAGTGCAATTTGGCTTATATTAAGTAGGTATTTAAAATTAAAACCATTAAATTAGCCAATCGTGGAACAACTTGACAAAGATGATGATTTGTTTAAGAAAATCATTCGCTCCACTTGCGAAATAAAATTTTTCTAATAACGTGTTGTAGCTGGGCTTTTCAGATTCGTTGCAGTAGACACGTACTTGTCTAAATAATATTATCCGGTTAATATTTTCACTATCTAAGTGTGGCTTACTCGGGCATAGATAGAAATTTTCGATAGAAATATACATTTTTGGCTATTTATAGCTGGCTAGCTATACTGTTCACAGCCCGCTATTTAATCCTCGATAGATTTTCATTCAACCTGAAAATATATTTGTTTATTTTATACGGCGGACAGCTGATAGCGCAGTCCACATCATTAGCACATATCTGCAGTTTATTGCGGTGTGTGTTGAGATAACTTGCTGGCATACAACGAAAACAGTGGATGTACAAGTATTGACCACGGCTATACGTGGAGTTTAGAGGAAATTTAGATACTATTCAACCGGTATTGCGTTCGCCTTCCGACATATGAGGCAAACAATGCACAGGTTTCATCATTCGAAATTCATTTCGAAAATGCAATTATGTAAAGGTAAAATTATGTAAATTTTTTGACGAAATAAAATGAAATGAAATAGATTCATATGACTCAAATAATTTCATATTTGCATATCTTAGGAAAGGTAAAATTGTGTACATTTTTTGACGAAATAAAATGAAATGAAATAGATTCATATGACTCAAATAATTTCATATTTGCATTTCTTAGGAAAACTTTGAATTATTAAATTAAATTTTCGATATTAATATGTATAATTCTATTGTTATTTTATGTAATATATTAACGCATTAACATATGAATTTACCTATAAAGTATGTACAATATTTAAAAATGAATTGCATATCTGTCCTAGTTATATGAACAACTTAAAGCGGATTCATTTTTTGTATGCCTTATTTCAATATAATCAAATTTGAAAGTGCAGAAGATATATCGTTTCTTATTCCCTTACTTGTTCGCCCCATTTGGGAGGGCTCTAGGGAAACGCCAACACTGTACTCAAAATAAGATGCGTTGATTCAGGAAATCAAGAGTTTACTTCTATAATTTTCACCTGGACGTAAACCTTACGAATATTTACATGTATGAAGATCAAAAAATATCTGTATGTAGATTAACTCACCATTCCATTTCGGCTATGCTTGCCGTTTCGGTATATAAAACATTCCTCTTTTTGCGCGGGTCTACAAAAATAAATGAGGATTCCATCTACGCATCTAACTATGACAATATACATTAAAAATATTTCAATTATCGTTTATTGTAGAACAATGAGGCACAAGAACAAGGAAAGCATAACAAGACGATGCTTGCCACCAGGTGTACCAAATCTTCTATAGAACCACTCTTTTGTATTGGCATTAACACTTCACCGGATCCATTACGCGAATTTCGTATATTTACGCATATTTAGACCCAATATTTCGACCTAATATTTTGACTTAACAACTTAATATTTCGACCTAATATTTCGACTTAACAACTTAATATTTCGACCTAATATTTCGACCTCATATTTCGACTTAACAACTTAATATTTCGACCTAGTATTTCGACTTAATATTTCGACCTAATATTTTGACCTAATATTTCGACCTAACAACTTAATACTTCGACCTAATATTTCGACTTAACAACTTATTATTTAGACCTAATATTTCGACTTAACAACTTAATATTTCGACCTAATATTTCGACTTAACAACTTAATATATTGACCTAATATTTCGACCTAATATTTAGACTTAACAACTTAATATTTCGACTTAATATTTCGACATAATATTTCGACCTAATATTTCGAAGTTGTTCCTTCATATTTTGTACCATTTCTGATACAATAACAGAAATGGTGTTCTGCCAGCGGTTGATAGCTTCCAGACCCTAGAAAGTTCGAAGTAAGGGCTAAATGCTTCACTGGGAGCATGTACACCGTACATGTTCATTTTTCTTATGCTATCACTAACGCCAATTTTTCCTAAATCGCATTCATAATGCGCCTTCAACACCCGAGACTCTTGCAGAGTCTACGTTGCACGTAGATGTCTGACAAATGCATAAAATCAATTACCTACATTTTCGGATAACGAAATTTCAGCCAATCTCAATGTTCGTCTAGTGCCAAATGGTATAATATAAGAAAAGGAACCATTCCGCCAGACGTGTATATATCTCGCAACATTTCTTGATTATTTGGTAATAGCATTTTACTTACGATTTTTTGGTTTTATTTGGTAAAAAATCAGTTGACGATAAGACCAATATATGAGTTTGTGTTATATGTTGCTCCGTTGCGCTTTGTCAATGATAGAGACATTATATGATGATGTATGCAAAGATTGATGATACACAATTATTTACAAGCTTTGGTGAATTAAGAACATTAATTAGACGATTGAAGTTAAAAACAAAAAAAAAAAGCATTCATTTACTTACTTTCCACAAATTTAAAATATTTGTGTTGGTTCCGCTGTTTGTAAGTAAACAATGTTGGTCGCAATTTATTTTAATTTTAATTTACAGTTATCTTCTCTTGTAAACGCAGCTCTAAACGACCAATACTAAATCAGAACAATCAATACAAACGCAGAGGATCAGTAATTATTCTTAAGCCTATTTTGACAATTCTGAGAGAGCGTTTCTCACCCCTCTTGCGCGTACTTGTAAGCAAAAAGGTCGAAACTGGAAAATGCAACTTAGTTACCGCCAGACAAAAATAGTGCTCATAACATCAGACTGTTAGCGACGGACCGAGCAGTATGTGAACACCAAGCAATGATATAAATAATCCACTGTTCAACAGTCAAGCGAAGACGTAAGTAAGACTAATTATTTTACTATCTCTCCGTCTTTCCATCTCATTCCTATGTCTAAAATAATCTTGTTTCACGCAAAGTTTGCAACCTTATTGTTATATCACTGTATACACCTCTGTTATCTAGTAACACACTTAACATATTAGCCCCAACATTTATGGCGTTAGTTTCTTCTGAATTTTGAAGATAATTATGAATGTATATCGCATATTTAATCATCATATTCTAGAGTCTCGACATTAAGCCACATTTTTCATTGGCTTAGTTCACCTAATTTCAACAACCGAAAGGGAAATGTTTGCGGCATCTTAGTACATTAACTTTGATAGCATAAATCACTCATCAAAGATAATCACTGGTTTTACACTTTCAGAACGGGATCGATAGGTACATGCAAGCTCTTGTATGCTGACCTGCAGCCTGAAAACATGTGCTTCTCCCGCCCGTTACTACACTACAAAACCTAAAGTGTCAGTTCTCGATCTATTTCCAAAATGTTAGAGACTTAAACTCTTAGCTGAGGCAAGTTTATCTCAGTTGCTTAAGCCATGACTTTTCAGTATTAGCATTTGCGGAAACTTGGTTGAGGCCAGAAACTCACAGCTCGGCGATCTTTTCGACTTGTGTAGATGTTCGTAGGAAGGGCAGGTCAAATAACATTGGGAATGACGTCCTTATTGCTGCATCCTCTGCTTTTCTTTCATGTCCTTTTAACTCCTCCGCGTCTTTGGATACTGAATTTAATGCCATTCATGTGATGCTCGCAAAAATGTTTTTATTACTTGTTCTTACATTGCTCCTAATTCAGATATAAGCGCTTACAATAAACATGCCTCACTTATTCGTGCAGTGGCATGAATCCACCTGACGTTATTATTATGTTTGGTGACATTAACTTGGCCAACGTCTTTTGACGTCCTAACACTAATAACTGGTTGATGCTTATTGGAATTGGGGCTGGACTTAACAAACTTCTAGAAGACAATTGTGCTTTGTGTGTGCAGCGAAATGATATTTCTAATATAAATAATAGTTCCTTAGACTTAATGTTTTCTAATGTGTTAGATATCTCAGTTAGTCGTTGTTCGCCTCTGGTCTTACCTGGGGGTTGTCATCATTCGCCACTTAACGCATCAATACATTTCAGTACGGCGGTCAAACCTAATCTATAAGGGTAAGTCGACCACCACTGACCTTCTTGAATTTGCTTGCCACATGTTTGAGACTTTTCCAAAGGCACACAGTTGGATGTCATTTACACTGATTTAAACAAGGTCTCTGATAAAATTAACCAAAATTATTATTATAACAATTATATCGTTTAGGTTTTCCACCATATTTAGTTGCCTGGCTGTGGTCTTTCTCGATGGTTAATTCTTTAGGATGCTTTTAAATTCCCACAAAGGAGCCGCTTGGGAGCTACTCTGTTTATCCTACAGTTAACGATCTCCCCTCAGCTAATCAATCTGCCCGTATGCCAATGTATGCAGGTGATGTCAAACTTTTGTCGTTTGTTAATTCGAAAACTCCATCTGTCTCTTCCAAGCTGACGTAAATGATTTGATCGCTTGGTATTCTTTCCATTTTATGAGGCTAGATCAAAAGAAATGTAAACTGCCAGTTTCGATGCGGAACTTGTTCGCAATGGATTATTTTATTGAGTTACTTAGGTTGGAGACCGTGGTTTAGGGAATTTGACGACCCATACGTGACGAGAACATTATATCATAGAATCTTTGCTGTTTGCTCTAAAAAATTTAGATTGCTACTCATTTCCCTATCCTCACGTGGGATGGTATTAGGCATTAATTCCTGGTAAAATTAATTAATGCCGCAATCGCTTCATCATTTAAACTTTCCTATCCTTCCGGCAAGGAAGTTTCTTTTTATAAAACTTAGCCACTGCAGGTTAAATTGTGACTTTTTTAAACCACTTAGTGTCACAAAATCAACGAGGTTCATAAACTAATTTCCTCATCGAATATTGTTCCATTAAAACTATTCCTAATGTCCATGAGATAACACCACATAGCTCACCAGCACAAGATATAAGTAAACACGAGGGGATTCCATCAGGTGCAGGCGAACTATTATATTTTAGAGAGCTCAATCCTTCAAAAACGTCATTTTCAGATATAACAAAGTTAGGAATTGAAATCAATTTAGA